AAAAAAATAAACTATTGCAAATTACAGTGGCCCCTTTTTGGCTATTTAGCTATTTATGTACTTGATTTTTGTTTCTAATTATTTTATTTTGTTAATTATTTCGCATTGAAATACAAATTTTGATACATTAAATAAAAATGTAGTCTTCTTTCTTAACAAATCTCTTGACAAATTTTTAATACTATTTTTATTAAAATATTAAAAAGGTTGCTCTATTTTTATCAAATATATTTTCAATTTGCAAACCATCGAATAAAGTTGAAATTTTTCCAATTGTAAACTACATTTAATTTAAAGCTGTAAGGAGAAAATTTAAATGAATAAAAAAACAAATCTACTTGTACAGGCCCTCCACCACCCCTGCGAACGGCGGTTCTCTTTTTCTCAGCAAACACCAAGTTGCATGTAACAAATAATATAATTGTAGTAAAGCACACGTATTATATTACATTACAGTTATAATCTTATATGACAAATTATACTAAGAGATACGTTACGTGTAAGTTTGAGGTTTACTGAATTTGGTTTACTTTTTTCTATGTATTATATACAAATTTAATATTTTTATACAATGTATTTATTTGTCATCATAATATAGAACATAAGGAAAGAATTATAATATACAAAAAAATTAGACATAATATAATATAGTAAAATATAATATCTATAACACAAAAAATAGAATTAAATCTTTTTAATATAAAATACATATAAATTGCTTATACATTTTTACAATACTTTTGCTTATACATTTTCTTTATAGTATAAGATATTTCGTAACCAAAATGCATGCATATCATAACACAAAATTCGCGTAAAATTCAAGAAAAACTGAATTCTGGTTTTACAATAAAAATCTTTACATTTTTATTTAACAAACCTTTTAATTACACAATGTGTTTATTAACGGATCCTTAAACGAAAATTTTAATTTTGCACCTCCTATTACGTAAATAATAGTTATTGAATTTTGTTAAACGAAATTAAATATTCAAATTAGTTAATTTAACGAATTTTGTTTAATAATATACGTCTGCATAAAAAATGGAATACTATAAAGGTTTTTTATTAAAATTTTTAGCCCATTTTTACCAAACACAATTAATAGTATGTATGTTCCAAAGTCTCTATAATCACTAGCAATTGTAGAATCTTTAATTTAAATATACTTTTCAATCATATATCGTTAAATTAAGATTTACTTTAGCAAAAATGAGCTAGAGGTTCTCCACCTCTAATAATGCCAACCATAGCTTGGTAAAATAACTATTACGAATTATTTAAAATAAAAAATATAAAATAAATTCAAGAAAATTATTTAAAATATAAAATCGTAGGAATCAGTAAAAATAATTGATACGTCTTGTTTAAAATAAAAAATATAAAAGTTTCCGAAATTTATTTAAAATATTAAATTAGAAATAAGTTAGAAGTGTTGTTATTTAAAATAATGAATACTAAATAACTCTTTAAATAACTCTTTAATTTGACAGAATCATTCACGTCTTATTCTAAAATAAAAGAGTTATACTAGTAATTATGTTTGATAAAAACAGGCTGAAAATTTGTATAAACATAACTTCGTAATTTTACAAGTATAAGATATTATAAGAGAAAATTCACTAAATTTACTTGTTTGAATTTTCAATTTCGTTTATTAAAATTCAACAATTTTTATATACATATATAAATGCGAAATTAAAATTTTTTCGTTCAAGAACCTATTAAACTATCCCTCCTACGGATAGTCGGCACGCTTCTGTCTTGAAAATTTAGTGTTTTAGTTTAGAGACGAAACCACATTTACTTTCGACAATACAATTTTATCGAGTGTCAGAAAATGTATGTGGTTACATAATTTCCAAACTGAAAATGAATGTACTGGTGGTGGTATACGGGTGATTTCGACGGTAATAGGAAGAAGGCCGGCCTGGCCTCTCTCAGGTTCCTCTCTGACTCAGTAAACAAGAATATATTAAAATGGATTGAAATTGTATCTATCTGAATGCATTTTAAATAATGAAGAACGTTTTTGGATTCAATTAGATTCAGGTCGATTCAATTTGATTCAACTGGATTAAAAAACTGCATTTCTTATTCAGAATTTTGAATCGAAAACTATTCATCAGACACACAAAGACGCTGATATTATTTTTAGACTGAAAGACATAGGAAATGTGCTTCATTTTGTATAAATAAATAAAAATGCATTCAGATTGAAAAGGACTCATTTTAACGTTCATAAATGTTCATATTTTTGAAAATCTGAATTTATTTCAATCCATTTTCACTGGTTCACTAGATAATTCGTTGTTCCCAATTTTTCTCTCCATACTGAAAGAAATATCTGCTCGAAAATGAATAAATCAGAAGAGTCTGATTATATTAATCAGAATCCCGGTTATTTCAATTTTAGAATTTTATAGATTTTATCAGAAAATTCTCTGATTTGTTCATTTTAAATCAAAATTCTTCCAATTAACATACATTTTTCTCTCAGTGCATATGTTAAATAAAAATATTAATAATTTTATTCACATATAAATAAAATATTGCAGATATTACTTAATATATTTATCAATAATTAATTCAATTAGAATTGCTTAGAACGAAATTTTCCATTATATAATTTTTGTTAACTGATCTAGATTATTGTAAATGTGTTTCGATTAGTCAATTTGTAAAATTCTTTCTCAAATCAAACGCTTTAAAGCATTTGTAGTGAAACTTTGACAGCCCAGTCCTTTTTTTCTACATACTAGAGAACAATTGATTAATATCAAATTAACAAAATCGCATGAATATTATTTGATAAATTGATTAATGTTATTAGAACTTGGTAGATTACTTTCATCTTTTTAAAGATAAGCTGTCTAGACAATCCTTATACATGTTTCAGTATCATAAAAATTACTTTTAAAAAATTAAATATTCTAATGCAAGATTAAAAATTCTAATTAATTAAAGATTCTATGCAATACAAATTCTTATTAAGGAATAATCACTTAGATTCGTAATTACAAGCACGTTTTACAGCATCCAACACAGAGAATGCCCACACAAGGAGATGGAAAAAAGGATTTAATCGCTTTCAGTATGTAGGAATTTTCGAAGCACTTAGGTAAAAGCGACAAAAGAGAAACTCTTAATCCTTTTATAATCTTTATTATATTCATTTTTGTAGAAGTCTCCTGTCACTCTCTCTTCCTTCTCTTCGCATAATACTATAAATAAACGAAAAATTCACCGAATGAAAGAATACCGAATTAATATGTGATCGTCCCGTATGAGGTATTTTTTCTTTTTTGTAACAATATTGACACTCTACATCAATTCTTCACGAGCATATGCTTACGCACGTAAGAAGTACGTGTACGCAAGAGCGTCTAGAACGCTAAGAAATTGGGGAAAGGAGGAATCGAAGAAATGGAGGAAGAAAAAGAAAAGAGAAACGCGCACAGGGAGATTTATTGCTAATGAAGAATAAATATACGACATATGCTGATGAACCCTTTCTTTCTTCCTCTTTGAACAATTTCTCCTCTCCCCTTTCCGCTTTAGAAACACTCTCCTTTTTTTTTCTTTTATCAATTTATCCAATACGCATATATACGTATATGCTTATATATGTATATACATATACATATATACGACTGTACAATGATTCATCGGAACATTCGCTTTGTTTTTTTTTATTCGCATATCCGGTTTCGCCTCTATATTAGCGCGTGTAAATGTGCAAATTATTAAATAAGAGACCGACAGAATGGTACGTTCACCGTTCCATTGAAGACACCCCTCCCGCTCAAACATGCGAGTGAAGTGAATAGCAGTATCATTACGGTTACAAGTTAAATAACGCGCGAGGAGCGTACGCATGTCGTCAACCCCTCGCTGGGTCCGCAATCCTTTCGCCGCACGCAGGCGAATTTTTCTTTCATTTTTTTTTCTTCCGGTTACACGCGCACAACATACGTCCTCGTACCAAATCGAAAAATCGCTCGGAACAAGTTAGAAGACATTTCTTTTGCCATCCCACCTCGCTGGCGCTCCTTCGAGGAGGAACGGCCACTGCTTTTGTTCCTCTCCCCCGTGAAAATGTTCGTTGGTGCTTTCTAGCAAACGATATGGAATAACACAATCATCATTTCATCTTGTTTAACATTGGCAAACAACAAGGATTATTCACTGTGTTTCACTGTGTCATCTATGTCTCTTGCTGGAAAGTACCCTGTAATGGGTTTTCTACAATAAGCCATTACCTAAACTTCAAGTCTTAAGCCGTAAAAAATTGACCAGTCAATTATTCTTCTCACATTTGACGCTGGTTTTTTTTCTACAATAAACCATTATCTAATTCTTAAACCATAAGAAATTGACTAATCATGGACTTTCTACAATAAGTCATTACCTAAGCTTTAAGTCTTAAGCTATAAGAAATGTGTGAACTAATCATAATCAATTATTCTTCTCACATTTGACTATAATTGGTTAATTTCTTATGATTTAAAATTTAAAATTTAGGTAATAGCTTATTGTAGAAAAAAGCCCATCATAATTGATTATTCACATTCAATCCGATTTCTCACAGTTTAAGATTTAAAACTTAGATTGTATATAGCTTATTGTAAAAAGCTTCTAAAACGTAAAGCTTAAGTTAACGGATTATCATAGAATGTGTGTAACTCTCGGCTCCAAGGGGATCATAAAGATGGAGAACGGACTACGCGTCCGTTCCTCCTCTCGACAAACGTCGCATTAACGCGCTTAATGTAAAATAATAAAAAATACAAGACTACTCGCACGTGAACAATTTCACCGCGACTCGCCGACGACATCCTCTCATTCGTCCCCGGCGTCTGTAGTATATAATCGCGCGAGCGTTCGCGTTTTACATTTCATACGATGTGTAATGTGTTTCTCTTGCGGAATTCCCTTTTACCCATTGGTAATGATTGCAGTCACAGTCAACGCCGCTTTTCCCCTCTCTTTCTTTTTTGTTTTATCCCCCTCTTTAATGCCTATTCATCCGATAGCCCTTTAGCCCCCTTCTCGTTTTCATTTCACCCTTTCCTTTTCCTTGCCTTTCCTCGCACTATACTCTTTAAATTAATCTTTCGTCTGATCATATATTCCATTCTTTATATTTGTATCCATAAAGTGTTTCTTTGTTTTTTCTCTAAGGCTGCTCGTCCGATATACTTCAGAGGACCAAACATGAGACGAAAAGTACGTGTACAGTACAGAAGATACATTTACTGTTTACCTTCCGAAACGTAGAAAATAAATACTAAATCGATCAATAAATAATATAATCGCGGTATATCGTTTTCTATCTCTCCTAAGTATGCTAATACGCTATAAAAAAAATCATAGTACCGTACATTTAATTTACACATATGTGAGTTTATTACACGGTGGACATTTGACTATTTTGCAGGAACATTCGATGATAATCAGGTTCGATATTACGTGTCTCTGATTTATGAGAAGTACAAAACGAAATTTATCTATTTTAACTCTTCAAGAATCCATGGTAAAACGGGAAAACTTTGATTCAAATTCTTGATGATGTCCAGCATATCAAGATCGGAAAAAAACATGAAGTTTTAAAAACAATTTAAAAATGTTTTTAAGACGTTTTATGTTTTGATTTTGAACATGCGTGATAACCAGACTTTTTTAATAATTTGAGCCAAAGTTATTCCGACTGAGACAAAATTACCCCATTTTACATATAAAGAAATTGATTAAATGCTATTAAAAAATGAGATTTATCTATATTTTATGAACAAAAGCGATTTGTAGATTGAAGAAAATCCGAAGAATCTATTTAACTCTTAAGAATTCTGTCATGAAATCACTGATTGTGATTAAATAAGATGATACTTTCTTCGCCAATCGGTGATCAATTTCGATCGTGGACGCTATCACGCATATAAAGGGAAAACAAAACTAAACAACAATGACAATTAGTATGGAAGCGGCATTCGTTATAATCACCGCTATTTCGCCGCTATTTGAAATACTCCTCTCTGCCCACCACGTAAGTTGTAAACAAAGTGTCGTTTCGAAATGCATAGGACTGATTAAAACGCGTAACGCGATCGACGCGTCGCGAATATCTAACGCATCGTAATGCAGTTGAACTTTAACCCTTGGATGCGTAGTCTCCTAATGGAATAAATTTTAAATCGAGTACAGATAAAAGACAACACGGGATATCTCATAGAAATAATCTAGAAGAAAGAAAAGATCTCAAAAGCCCTTGTTTTTCATGCATCCAAGAGTTAATGATTGTATCAAATTTTATCAGTTTTGCATAATCTGCCTTTTTGTTCGTAAACAATTATCCCGTGTAATCAGAACTCTATTGATACCTTTTCCTTCGTCACTTTTTATAAAATAATACAAAATAAAATAGGAAAGAAGACGCAAGAAGTCTGCGTGTGTAACATCAGTCTCGGAACCGATGCAAGTCTCCTTACGAAATGATACACAAAGGGACGAGGAGTATCGCCGTCCACGAAAGAACTTTCTGTAAGTAACGTTCTTGGCAGGGCCTCCGAGAGCTGACATAATATAGCCTCGATGACGAATCGTATTAAAAATTTGAGAACACTCGCACCCAACGGTCGGAAGCCAACGATATTTTACCTCGTTAAACGCTACCCCACCCCTTGAATGCTCTAGATGAAATAATTATCAATCCCTCTCGTAAAAGAAAGAGGGATTCATTCACACCTTGGTCCACGGTCACACGGCATACGATTCACGCACGCGAATTGCACTATTAAATCTAGTAATATAACAGGTATAAGTATGACATGTCTAAAAATCCTGTCGGTTGTGACGCAAATCGAATTTGTACTTTTTTCCTCACGTAGTAGATTAGATAGACAAGAATCCGACGTTTAGCACAAAACGATATCGACATCCTACAAAGCCCTACCAACATCATCATCATCATTCAACCGGTAAATGACTTCGCGAGCTCGCGTCACCTATATATCATTAATGCGCGTTACTTTAAGCAGAAACAATGCCCTAGAAAGGTCCCCCGGGACCGCAAGAGCCTAGCGTTCAGCCCTCCCTGATCGGACAACAGCCACGTTGTCTTGTGTGTATTAACTGTTAACGACTTAATATTCTTGTTCTTAGCTCAAACAAACTGAGCTAGTTTTACCTTCCCGACATTCAATACCGATTAATTAATACATATTTATTGTATTTGTTATTCCGTTAATTGTTCATTTATCAATTCGCGTGGAAATTGAATGTCACAAGATCGTTCGATATCACAGTCGTTTCTCAATTATTTTAGTGTTATGTATTTATATATATAACGCGCGTATCATACTGATAAATACAGCTAGAAAATAATATGAGTGCGCCCCGTGTGTCTCCCTTAAGAGGCTTATGCTGCTTTCTATCTTTTCCCCCCCTCCCCTTTTTTTTCTTAATGAAGATAGAGCCCGCTATATCAATGCAAAAGCATCGCTCCCTTTGCTCTTTGTTTTAATACCCCTCTGTAACTGCAACCGTATTTTTAACCCGTCTCAATATAATTTATCTTCCATATGAGCACTCACACATTCGCATTCGGTACTGCAGACTAAGATTTTGTATAAAGCGCCAAACCAATTTCGCAGGGCAACGTCTCCGTTACATTTAGAAATGCTATTCGAGAAGCACGCTTCTACGTGGGATCAACGCAGTTCTATCTGTAGAACCACTCTTAAGCTCAGGTACATAAAATATTTATATATATATATACCTGCTCTTTTCACTAAAAACATATCTAGCCGCGTTTTATATAGTGAAACCTCCATATTCGTTACAAGTATTGAAAATTTCTTCGTCTAAGATCACAAACGTTCACAACGTGGAAGAGAGACAGTGCAAAGACCATGAACAATTTAATCGACAAACTAAAGAATTATTACTTTGAACAAAAGTTTTACATTATTGTGACAAAATATACTCTTTATATTGACATTTTATAATCACCGTACGTATCGAGGTTTCACTGTAATGGCTAAAGTTATGCGAGAATAACTTATGAAAATAACTGCTGCCTGTAAATCGCATAAGCGCCGTCTTGAAATTTTCTAAATTATCGATGTATATGTTAGGCTATAACAAAAATGTGAGATTTCTAAAGGTATCCTAAGACGTAGCCTGTGTTGCCATTTTATCATTCTCAATAGCAAAACCGTCGATCCCCGAAAAATTCACGTTGCTTATTCAGATAAACATATTGCCGACGCAATATCGTCTCTCTTTGGGGACGGCAAAACAACAAAGTACCATTCGTCGCTGAACTATAGCAAATTAAAGAAAAAAATAATAAAGAATCATTATATATACATACACACACACATATATATATGTGTGTATATATATATATACACACACATATATACATATATATATATATAATCCATGGCGACGGTAATTTGGCGTATCCTAGGCGATAAACGTGCATATATAATTAAAGAATTATGCCATTGGAACGAAACTGCATGACTTTTACTGGCCATTATGGTAGCAAAGGCAATAAAATACTTGTGCATTAAAATGTTTTACAACAGTCAAACGTTTAAACGCTATAATTACCGAAGATACGCCTACCGCACTCCCTATGAAAGAAAAAAAAGAATATGTAAATAATAAAGTTACGATGAGCCCCATAGTCTCGACAGGAGTTCTAAAAAATTTTACTAAGTTTCTTCAGCTACTATGTGTTACATCGTTATTCCCTTCAAACAGGGATTAACGATTTACTGATTTGATTCATTAATGATTATACTACTTGTGTTTCTCAGCACGCACGGCAACGAAATGGACCTCTAACTAATAAGTGTTGAACAAATCCTTTACGATACTCGCACTTTTTATGGTGAGATCATTCATATTTGAAATATTCTCCGGCGATCCACCGGCGCGAATACTAAATTGCACGCAGGATTTGTCAATTTATCGCTCATGAACAAATGTAATATAGTGGAATTTAAACATAAGTATTCTTTCTTTTTTGCTTCTCATCCAAAAACTTGGAGTGCACAGGCAGTCAGCGAAAACGTGAATACGTGAAACTGTCTGTACTCTGCGCATGTGTGTGTACATGTATACGCGCGCAAAACACATTTATGTAGTGTCAGACATGATGTCGTGTCTTTCTTACATATAATAGAATTTGCGTGTAGAGTAATAATAATAATGATAGAAGTAGAAATAGAGATGGAAATAATTGTCTACTTGTCCCATGATGCTCCCCACCAGTCAGGGCCGCTGTTGCCGTTATTAGTGGAATTATTGTACGATGAATTATTATAGTTACCTCCGTAACTTGAATAACCGCCTGTAATGAGATAAATAGACAACATGTATAAATAAAATATTAAATTTAATGTAATATACAGATTATAATATATATAATGTAATGTTGTCTATACAGGGTATAGGTCCCACAAGACTTCTCCAACCGCCCACAGAAAGATAGATGGGATCGAAATAAACATAAAAATCCTTTGCCGTTTAACGATATTCGTAATAATAATCCAAGATATTAATGTTTGCAATTGTACTAATGAGAGCGCGCCGATAGAAACGCTCCGACCGTTCGAGGTATAGCCCAATCTATTGTTTTTCACATAGGCTGCGCCGGCAGCGCGTTAGAGAGGTAAAAAAGGAAGGTGGAATCTCTAACCATTGCATAGAGGAGAATCACAATTTTAAATGGGATAAAATGGATATATTAAATATAGAACCTTTATATAATAAAAGATTAATATCTGAAATAGTACACATTAAAAACCAGAAACATGGAATAAACAGAAAATGACACGGAGTCTTTGTCCGAAATTTATTCTTCTCTTTCTCCTTTCTAATATCTTCTTTCCTTCCCCCTCCCCCCTCCCTTATTTGTCGTTTTCTGATCTCGATTAGTGTTTTCCTTTTCAATATTGCGTTATTCAATATTGTGGAAGTCAGATGTCCGCTACTCTTGCAAATTTGCTTCAAAAATTAAAAAAAAAACCATTGTACGATATGGATTACCATCTACCTACGTTTTCTCTCTTTTTTTATTAATGGACTCTCAACACTTTTATCGATATTACAAGGTACATGATTATATTATATATATTATTAAATACATTCGCATGTATTAAATATTAATGTTTTGTTCACGTTTCTAGAATGTTTTTCTGACTATTTGAATTTTAATATAACTGACTCTGTACTACACGATATGAAGAATGTAATACCATAGATATTTTTATAGCGATCTTTGAATATTATCGCAACATAGAAAATAACTAGAACGGAGTCGAAATGTTTGTTTGTTGTTTTGTAATTTATGATTTAATTTTAATTTAATTAAAGTTTGTTACTACATTACTGGCTCTTTGCCCTTCTTTTGCATATATTAATATCTGCATATATTAATATCTCGATTATTACGAATATCGCTAAACGATAAAGGACTTTTATATTTATTTCGATCCCATCTACCTTCCTGTGGATGATTGGAGAAATCTCGCGGGACACCATATATATATACATATGTGTGTGTGGGTGTGTGTGTGTGTGTAATATATATAAATATTATATAATAAAATTAATATTTTACAATATGTATATGTATACATAT